ACTCGAACCGAGAATATGAAGTCTTGTTTCTCCAATCCACGCTTAGCTGCTCAATTTGCACATTGATTTTCTTCGCGATATGTAAATAGTCAATTAACCTACACAATCTTAAAGAGAGAAAATATATATATATATTTTTTTTTCATTTGAATAATAAGACTCCAAATATATATTATCATAATATTAATTATGCTCTACCTCGTGATTATTTAATGATAATTTTATAAATAATTATAAAATAAAAAAAAATTATTTACATCCAAAATGTATTTTACAGAGCTACAATCTGACTTGATCTCTTCTAGTAGCATAATCATTTGATTAATTCCATGGGCGTAATCTTCCACGGACTAACTAAAATATTGGAATAAAATAATCCAAAGAATTTTTTGTGAAAGCTAGTTGTGGGCCATCAGGCATCACCAAGTACTACGCTTTCCTTGCAACGCATGATTTAATTAATCACACGATGTTCCATTAAGTAGATGACGTGGCTCCGCATCATTGACACTAAACCGGGCTTTACGGCCATCTAAACAACATTTATCTTATTTTTCACCGCAACAAATAGAAGTCTCGTTACAACACGGTAGCTTAATTACTTTATTTAAACAATTATCACCGTTCCTCATTTATTTCAATTTTTTTCTTGGAACAATTAAAGGATGTTGGAATTCTTATGTTTGATAGTTGTTGGCATGAAATTTGTTGGTGGTAATATTGTAAGTCAAGTCTAAATTTATATGTAATTTTAATGTTGTTGAATCGAAAATTGTCTGGAAGACACGTCTATGGTATAGAGCAGGAAAGGGAGAGAGAGGGAAGCACATAAAATAGAACTGTAAAATCGTATAACTTTTAGTCAAGTAATGAGCCCCCTATTAAATAGAGATGGGGGTGTGCAATTACATTTTGTACCCCTATAATAAATAGATACAACGGGAGTATTTTGATCAGTACATAAATATAAGACGGGGAGCCAGGAAAGGCGCCCAGTCGGATGGGGACGGGACCCCAAGAACGTCTCTAGAAGGTCTCTGGTTGGATAGAGTTGGGAGCCTATGATCGCCTCCACCCGATCTTTTTTTAGCCAGGCGGCCAATTGCGGGGAACCCGGAGAAACTTTCGATTAGTCTATCGTATGAGGGATTATGCTTGAAAGGACGGGTAGGGAACCTCTGGCCGATTACTTTGGAACCAGACGGTTTGGCTTGTTATCCGACCGATTAGATAAAAAGCTGCAAGACTTGTTCGCCCTAGTCTTGCTAGTGGACTTTTAGGAGAAGAGTCAAATTCTCTCTATCTGAATATTTTCTTCCTTTCGACCCAAGGAGCTGACTGACCCAGATTGGTATTTTGGTTAGTCCCTAGTGGATCCCAATATGTCAAATCATATCTTCTGTTGGCTGTCAATTTTTTTTAAAATTTGTGCTAACATATTTTTTGTTTACATATTTAAGTACTCTGATTCTCTTGCTCTTTGATAGTAAGAGCTTCAAATAGGACAAAAGAATCTTAATTTTCAAAAAAACAAATGGTATTCATGACTATTAAAAGCACAATAATTAAAAAATGCTAGGATTATGTGTAATGATCTCAATAAATAAAAAATAATGAGAAGAAAAACTTATCAGTTCTTGGCTTTTCTTTGTGCGAGTTGTCCTCCTTCGTCTACTGTCAGTGATCATGGACAGCAATTCCTCCCCCAAATAAGCTGAGTTCGGTGATGATGCCTGAAAGAAAGTTGTCAAGGCCATGAAGCTACGAGTGGAAGTTTCATCTTAGAGTGTGCATCCCGAGAAGCCTCTTGTAGTGGAAGTGAGACCTTTTGACATTGTAGATGTAGTGGAATCATCTGACTCACTTTTTGATTGCCCTGCAGAGAGGTCCGAAGCAAGAGAGGGCAGCTTTACCGTGAAGAAATGCCTTAAAACAGTGGTAAACCATTCTAAGGGTAAGCAGGAAGAGTGATCAACTTATGCACGGGATTTTCCTGTGTTAGTGAAAGAATAAAGGTCGAAGCCTGTAGTTGCAGTAGCATTCCCAGTGGAACATATGATATATATTCAAGATGTGGTCCATGACCCTCATCCGACGGACGCCCCAGAGGTTGATGCCTCCCTCCTGTCAATAGAATGAGAAACTTGGGTCAGTTTTTTACCACCTCTGATTTGCATCAGATATTAGATCTTTCCTCTGGTGAAGATTAACACTCCCCCTCCCATTGAACACGGTGCTGCCAAGGATGTTTTAGATTTGGGATCTACCGAAGGTTCCATGCATTTGGGAGGACGGCGCAGTGACACTATCACCAATTCGATGGTTGATTCAACTGAGGAGGTGGCCATATTTCAGTCACCTGACTTGGCTGAGAATTAGCTTCATGATGCAGGAGTCACACTGTCTCAGGAAGTTGATCACGCTCATCTTTAAAGTGAGCTGCTTAAAAGGTTGGAGAAGAAAGTCGTCGTGCTACACGCTATGGATTCTACACTTTAAGATGAAGTAGCAGCGCTTTCAGGCGAAAGTGTTTGCGATCCGAGAGGCAATTTCAGTTTCCCAGCTTCAATCTGAGATTAAAAGGGTATATATATTCAGGATAAGAGGGGAAATGATGAATCGACAACTGTCTCAGCTCGGTTATGAGTTTCCTTTCCAACTGATAACTTATAACTAGAAGGATTCCCATGTAAATATTAATATTTTGTATAAATAAAATCTTTTAATCTTTTCATATCGTAATGTGTGTTTTATGTGATTTTTTTCTACAATTTGACATAGCAAAAGACCCTTTTGTCTCTGCTTCTCTTAAACTTACGCAGCGTGTTATAAGTAGTGTTGAATAGTTTAGAAGAGCCCTAAACTTCCTTGCTTTTGTCTCTACGTAATATTTTCCCTTCCCCTTCCTTCTCACTGGATATGAAATTGAAGTACTCTTTAAGTTGTTTGGGAAGATCCCCTCGAGCGTAGATATCCGTGGTGGCTGCAAGACAAGTTGAAGTCCTTGAGCGGTCAATTTTTTTATTGGGACTCTGTGACCCTCAGGCCAATAGGGAAGGTTGAGAGAGCAGTTCAAAGATTGCATGGTCATCAATGTGGACTAGTTCAAGTTTAGGTTGTGATTGCCCTTCAGTCATGTACTTTGGTCCACTTTCAACCATTACTATATTATTTATGCACAAGTTAGGTCAAACTGTGTGGTGATAATCATGAAATTCATTATCATCCTCCGACGACTAGTGCTTCCCTGGTCCATTGTGCTCTTCTCACATTTCTTCTGCTTTAAAGTGGACAGAGAGGGTTATGATGTTCTTTTGTCTGGCTTAAGACTCTGGGTGATTGAGGTCAAGAGTGAAATGAAGGACTAACAGTCTAATTTATGTTGCCCTCTAACAAGAAAGGTTGGGGGATCACCATATGTCCCATTTTGCAGAGCATATCTAAGACAAAAGCCTTGCCTAACTCAAAAAAATATAATGCTTAGATAATCGAGGGCTAGGAACTATTTGTGCTCCAATACCTTGAAGTGGTTGTAGTCAACAGGTTACTTTGACCAGCATTGCTCAACAACATGACCGAAGCACAATAAAGGAAATCCAATGCCGAGGAGAAGGAAAGCTGAAGGCTGGAGCAGCAAGAACTGGAGAAAAGAAGTCGCTAGTGAATATTCACCTAGGAAAGAGCAATCCTTATTTATGGTTGTGGAAACCATCAAGTGCTCTAGGAGCTAGTAAAGGCCCTATTTTTTTGACAATCTATTTTCGTGATCAGGTAAGGGGATCTCAGAGAGGCATTGGGAGGCTTTGCCTTACTCAGCAATCTCTCGGGAGGTGAGTTCTGGAGAAGAGACATCTCCATTCAGTGAGCCTCCTAAGAGGGGAGGACTTGGCATCTTGTTCATTGACCCGCAAGAAAGAGCAACAACTATATAACAATCTTCAGTGGAGGTGGTATCCGAGTCAGGTGAACGGGCCCTCATGGATGAAGTCTTAGAGGATGAGATTCCCCATCAAAAAGAAAAAGAGTTGGTTGAACAAAGGTCACTACCACCGCCTCCTATGTCACATAAATGGGGTTACCCCCAAGGTGGCTTAGCCTGACAGAGAGGGAAAACATTGTATTGGGAAGTTTTGGCAGTTGATATATTATGGTAGACTCCAAGAAGGACCGGTACACTAGTCTGGAACTAGGAGAGGAATCTGAGGTTGCTGAGTACCCTAGTCACTTAGTGGAGGTGGTATAGTTTAAAGGTCTAAATTCTGTATTGCAAGGGAAGGAGTACGCCAACCTATGAGATAATTACGACAAGTGGAAAAGGAAGGTGGGTGATCAGCTGATTTCAGAGTCGGTTGCCACTAAGTGGAAGGTTGAGGGGTAACTTGGTCGTCTTGCAAAGATGTTGGAAAAAAACATCCCTTGAGTTATGGTTGAGGGAGAAGGAGCATGAGCTAGTTGTGGTAGCCTTGATATAGGAAAACAAAAATCTCCAAGAGAAATGATCAAGATGCTCTCTCAAGAGGACTACGTCAACACATTATCTTAGCAAATATAGGTCAAGCTGGCTATGACTGTTAAGCATTTCATGAAGAAAGGGTTGATGGAGTCTAAATGAATAGACATGGACTAGCTTGCCACCAAATTTACTGACTCAGAAAAAGAATACGATGGGGCGGACCGTTTAGGCGAGACAGGTGACGGAAGTGACAACGGGTACATAGCCACATAGTCCTCTTAATTACTTTCTCTTTTTATTTATACTTTTTTAATATGCTTTTCGTTTGAAAATAATTGTGCCATCTGGCCATGCTTATTGACCTCACTTTTGTGAAGACTCACACAGCCTACTAGCACATGAACCTAGACAAGGGTTGTGCTTTCTTGTGTCTTATTAGGGTAAGCGCAAGCCCTTAACCTTTAGTTGAGTAGGCTTAGGGTTTTGACTAGGTGATATGTCCTAAGGCATTAACCCGACCCGCAATTACACAGTAATTTAGCTTCCAAAAGATGGCCAAAAACTTGACCCAAATTTGTATTTGGTGGCTAGTGTGCAAAATCAAAATGTTTTAAAATTTAGAAAATAGATTACACACTAGGGGTACTATGCAATTATATGTATCATTTCAAGTAATATAGGATTTTCTTTAAAGAACACAATATCGATCCCAGTCTACTACCATCAAGTCTTAGGTTTGGAAGGTCGATTAAGATGATGTTTTATTTAGAAACTACTTATAAATATAAATATTAAATGTAAGGATAACAGCTATTCCTAAATGCAAATATTATATCTAAAGATAACACATATGGATTAATTGGTTTGGAAAATTTTGAGATGTTAAAGACTACCCTTCTCGTGCATTGACCTAGGTAATGTATAGAATGAAATGCTTAAAATATAATGTTGGAGTGACAAATAGGAGCATACTTGTTTCCTTGCTTTCATTCGAATTCTGCAAAGAACATTGGTTAATCTAATGCTGGTGCAACATGTATAGTAGTTTTGGGTAGGTTTTAGTCCCTCACTTCTAGATTACCCATTGTGCCTTCTCTATAGGACCTACCAGTGACCCTTAATTCCAATCTCACCTGACTACGGAGACCATTTGGTAGCGACCCTTAGTTATTTTAAAAAATTGTCGGCACTATTTTTGGTGTGCGGTTTGTCCGTAAGAAGCTGTCGGTCATCGGAATTGAAATCCCGTTGCCTGCTTCGGAAGGATGTTTTAAAAATTTTTATTTTTGAAAAAGATGAAGTCAAACTGACCCCATAATTTTCATAGTTTAGATGAAAGAGCGTTTTACCTCGAATCCTGTATCTATCCCGAAGGATGAACACAAGAATTGAGGGTGAGACTCGATCAAATAAACTAAAGAAAGTTATGAC